GACTGAAAAATAATCTATGACCAACGAATTTAAAAATATGTGACTGATATATAAACTGTGGCCTATAAATTTTTTGATATGTGATATCGAAATAATATGTGATCAATTAATTTGATAATATGTGACCAGTAAATAAGTTTGACCAATAATTGTATAATTGTCACCTTACTATATTCAATTAATAAATATATTTAATTAATTAGTTAATACCTGAGTTTTGCATTTTGAATTTTACACCTGAAAATTGAATTGTATATAGTTAACAACTAACTTGTGAATTTTTCCCAAAATATTAAAAGTTTGGGCTCATTAGCTTGCTAGACTTAATCAACTGTCACTCCTAACTTTCTTATTTTAGCCACAATAAGAGAATACAATCAATGACATGTTCATATTTCTATATTGTGTACCTAAAATACACTGCTTGCACATACAACGTAGTATTTAGGTACTTAGTATCTATCGTCTCTATTTAAGAATTTAATACTTGGCCGAAATTGAAGCCCCTCCTTACAAGTTCGATCAACAAATGACCACAACTAAACTTCATTATGCATCAAAGTATCACCCTTCTACAATTTCAAACTATCAAAATTGTACTAATACCTTCTCACAATGCTCTAAAAATACTAAGCTCCAATTACTCGACTTGGTCGAGTAGCCAAAAAATAAAAGCTATAAAAAATTGAAGAACTCAAGTAAAAGTCTTTCTCGACCATGGCGCAAAGAAAATATTACAAAAAGTGATAAATTCAAGAGTGCTACAAAAATGTAATATGGAAATTTTTGGTTTTGATTGTGAGTTTCCAGTTCACATATTGACACCTAAGACCAATCTCAACCATTAGTAAACTCCCAACACACCAATTTGAATTTCTGACTGAATCATGTTACTCTTTCTGATTGCCCAGATGAAGCATAGCCCAGAAGCAAAGCCCATGTACCCAGAAGAATGCGGATCCAAAATCTTTATACAGCTCAACAGTTTGCAGTCTGCAAACCAACTTGAAAATGGGTTTTAAAAAGGGCGAAAAAGGGGAAAATTTTGTATGTAAGAGATTAAGTATGATCCATTTTAAAATTAAGAAACAATGTTTAAAATTTTAAAAATTAGATATTAATTAAATTTTATTTACGAAATAATTAATTAGAAATATATTTTATTAATTAAATACACTAAGGTCACAATTCTATACAATTTGGTCACAATTAATGAATTAATTTGTCACGCATTATTTGTCGAAAACAGATCAAAAAATTTAAAGGTAAAAAATTATATTTCCATCAAAATCAACAATTTTATAGGTCACAATTTATTCATCGATTAAAAAGTCATAAATTTCATAAGTCACAACTTATCTAACGATCATTAATAATTTCTCAATCACAACTTAATAAATTGTAAGTCACAATCATATTTTTTAGGTAACGTATTATTTCATCATCACAAATTAACCAAATTATTGGTCAATTTATTTAGAATTATGCTAATCGTACATAAAAATGACACATAAGGGACGACATAAAATGATATGGAGGAAAAAGATTGGATAAAAAATTTGATTATGTTTTAAACTGATAAATGATAGAATGACATATGTTATTATGAAACTCATTGTGTAAAATTTAATGTACATGTAGTAAGGTCAATTTATTTGATGGTCACATAATAACATATTTAATGGTCATAATCAACCAAATATTGGTCACAAACTCTTCTTCCCACACCTCACCACCATCAACACCAGCACCACCGCCATCAACACCAGCATCATTGTCACCACCACTTCAACAGCACCACTACTACCACTTGCAAACATAATCCATAAAACCCATCCCAAATTGATGTACAACCACCATAGCCACGACAACATTAGCAATTACAAACAGTTGCTTCGAACGACAATGTAGGTGAGGCGTTGCACAATGAGCGCGCACAACTGATGTAGCAATGCCACACACAGTAGCGTCGTCATCGCCCTTTGTATGCCACGTTACTGTTGTGGTTTACGGTGGCTTTCGACAGCATTGCTGTTGTGTGTCACGCGTGAGGCATCGTACGACAAGCACCTTCGCGCGTAGTTGCTCCAGCAATGCTGCACACAGCTGCACTGTCTTCGCCCCTATACATGATGTTGCTGCTGTGGCTTCCAAGGATGCTACTGTTGTGTGTCATCGCCTACTATAAGCCGACGGTGGGTCTCTCGACTGTGGTAGATGAGAGACAATGGAGGGGATAGATAAAGAGAATAGAAATGAAAAATGATTTATGGTTTGGGTTTGGGTTTAGTGGTGGGTTATGTAGATTAAATTATTTTTATAGGGTTATTATTAATATTTAAAAATTATATTATTATCTTATTTTTATATAAGCAAACTTTAAATCTGATTTTTGAAATGTGATTTTTAAAGTAGGCTTCTATATAAACTCCACTTAAAAAAATGAATAAGGAAAGTTTCATGTTTAAGAAATTAATTATGGCCCACTTTAAAACTAAGAGACGTGGTTTAAAACTTCAAAAATCAAGTATTACTAAATTTATTTATGAAATAATTCATTAAAAATATATTTTATTAATAAAATATATTGAGATCACAATTCTATACAATTTGATCACAAATTATTTCTTTACAAACCCAAAATTTAAGTCACAAATTATTTTACGGTCACAAATCAAAAAATTTATAGGTCAAAACTTATTCATCGATCACAGTTAAAAATTTATCAATCACAAATCACAGTTTTATAAGTCACAACTCAAAATTTTAGGTCACATTATTTATTGGTCACATGTTAATTTTTTTTTTTTGTTGCAAAATATCTAATTTATTGACAAACACTCTCAATCCCATTACCTACCCGACCCAATCCCAATCCACTATAGCGCCAACCAAAAGCATCTCCACCTCACTACCACCACTAGCGTCACCATACCATCATCGCTGCCACCTCCAATAACCTACCTTTTTCATCTTCAAAACCACCACCACAATCACCAAAAAAACAATCGCCACCAACAAGATCCAAAATCGTCACCCGAACATCAAATCACAGGCACACCAATCGCCACCCGCAAACACCAACAAAATCGTCACCCAAATATCAACAAAATTGTCGCATGCCACCAAAAAAACATCGCAGGCACACCAATTGCCGTCAAAACATCATATATGAATCGCGCGAGAGAGAAAGAGAAGCGTGGCGAAGGGAGAAGAAAGATAAAGAAGCGACATCACCGTTCATCTAGTAGCGTCGACGATATTTTCATTCCTTCAGTGTAGACGGCATCGAGCAAGCATGGTGGCGATGTGATAAAAGTGGCGTCCATCATCACTGTGATGCAGAGTCGAGTGTGGTGGCGTTGGGAAGATGATGGCAGAGACAAGAGAGAGCAGGGATGAGGAAGTGTTTAAGGTTTGGTTGGTAGGGGTTGATATATAAATTAATTTAATTTTATTATATTATTATTAACAGTTAGAATTTTAAATATATCTTATTTTAGTAAAGAAAACTTGTATATCTTAATTGTGAATTGAGATCTTGAAAACACTAAGCCCCTGCAATTTCACAAAAAATAATGTTATTTAACACCAGTTGTATTTAATATCAATCTAAATCAAGGAGCGGAGTTGGAATTTTAGAGTTGTGGCAAATTTAAAAAAATAAAAAATAAAGTGGGGACAAAATTGAAACTATTAAAGATTTTTTGGAAAATATTTTGCAAAATCTTCGATTTACTTCCCCCCTGTTGTAGATTTGCCCATTGTCTAGATGTTACTATGTCATATGAGTCATAAATTCTTCTATTTAATTGAACCGATAATTTAATGACATAAATAATTTCAACTAGACCAATGTTAAGTATCATTGGTGTTGTCATTGGTGTTGAATAGCATTATCTTTCAAAAATTTCATCTTTGGTCGTCAAACTTTTCTTTCTTCTAAATTAGTAATCAAAGTTTTCTTTTTACTTCAATTTATGCAACCATTATATTTTTATCTTTTAGAAATAAAGAATATTGTTGCCTCAAATACAAAATGGTAAAAAGCAGATTAAAAGTTACGCTAATACTTTGATTTGCCGTCCAAATTTTGAAAACCCTCGTTCTTCAAAAATATTTCATAAGTATATTAGACATTTAGAAAAACATAAAGCTAATTCAACAATATTTCAACTTCGTATTATCTACTTCTTTCAAAATCTACTAAAAATTTGATTTTCAATTAAATCTAAAACCAAATACTGACACTTGAAGTAGGAGAGCTTTGGATTATCCTAGTAGAAAGCAATGATAAAGATATAATAGTGGTTCTCCCTTACATTTATTTTGGTATGAAAATCTTCATCTACCCAATTAGGACTCTGCTATCACAAAAATCATCATCTAGAAGAAACCAACTACCAACAAAGCAAAAGAACCTTGAGAAAGAGCGTTCATTTGTTTCGCTAATCATGCAAATACTATTTGAATACCTTTCAAAAGTTTCTAGCAAGAATGGCGAAAAGAATTTTCAAATACCTTTACTAACTAGTGGTGAGGTAAACTACTTGTGTTAGCATGAACTCAAGTTTATATAATTGTAAATTATGAAATTATTGCCTTATGAATTTATAAAGTGCGCTCATTTGGACAAATATATTTACTTTAACTTTCAAATACACGGAGTAGGTAGCGGAAAAATAAAAATTAGCGAGTAGTTTGAACTTTAAAAAAAAAAAGGAAAAGAAAAAGGATCATGCTTGATGTACACTTTATCACATGACAAACTGTTATTTAATAGTTTTTTTTAGAAAAAAAGACATTTTTTTTTAAATTCAATCACTTTTTAAAAACAATGCAAGTGTCAAACAGACAAGAGTGTACACTATACAAATGGTAAAATCCTTAAAAAAGAAAAAAATGTTGAGTGGTTATACTGAAATAACACTACAAGTTCATTGACTATCAATCTTTTCAATTTAACCCCTCGAAAAATTTCAACCTCTACTATTTCTTTCACTCCATCGACAGATCTTCAATCTTTTCCATTATAGTATAATCTGGTTTCTGTAATAATCTCCTATGGCGGCTTCTTCTTTGTTACTCTCACCTCTCTCGTCCGGGACTAGTGAAATGAGTAGCTATAATTTTTCTTCATTTCTTCATGGTCCAAAGCTCATATTCACTGCTAAGCCCAGAAAAACTGCGTTTCGGAGATGTGGGTTTAAGTCCCCAGTAGCTCAGAAATCATTTGACCACATACCCAAACAGTTCCGAGAAGAGAATCTTAAGGATGGATGTAAGTTTTCTTTCGTCAGCCGTTTTTATGCTTTGTTTGACTTAGGGCTTGTTAAATTTCAGCTTGTTGGTTTTGTCATCTTGGGTATTTGTTTAAGCTTCGAGTGATAGTTTTGGGTTTTCATTTTTTTTTTTTTAAATCTTTTGAGGTTTGATTTGATCATTCTTGTTTATAAATGTATGGGTTGGTTGGTGTATATGTATCATATAGTTATTGTGTTAGGAATCATGTAGATATGTTTGTTTCTCTAACAAAAATAATACCCAATCTTATAAAAGTAGGATATTAATGTGAAGTAATTAACTTTTAGAATGCATATTGATTTTGAAATTAATGAAGAGGAACCCTAATTGATATATCTTTCAGTACGGTACTACTGAAAATTATTATGGATTATTGGCTTGTGCCTTCTTTGACCTGTGCTTTTCTGCATTATGGGAGTTTGTGGCATGCAGCCCTCGGCAGTATTGGAAAGTATTATGGAAGAAATGAAGTTAAAATTTATGTTCATCGTGCTGTGTAGTTGAGTCCTGTTGTGTTCAATATTGTGTGTCAAAACATGCCATTCTCATTCTATGATGCTGAAAGTTATTTTGTGAGCACGATGAACCATCTTCAAATTAATTTGTAGCAGAAGAATTTTAATGTACATCCAAACATCATGATAGATTGACCTTGAGGTTCTAGACCCATCAATTACTACTGTTTTTTTCCCTTGTTCTAGTCTTCCTAATTACTCAGTTGTATCCCATTCTTGTCTTTATGGACTTCCCTTTTTAATTCTTTCAAATTTGAGTAGATGACTGTCGAGGAAGGAAAGAATTCTCCTTCGAAGCTGTAGGACCTAGGAGGATTACTGGGAGGGGACAGAGTCAGGTGGATTAAGGTCTTTTGACAATAATGTATGGCAGCTTTTTAAAAATGTTGTACTACAAGAGCATAAACAGAGCTCAAGGTAGAAGAACGAGTCTTTTCATTTTCCATAGACTTCAAACCTCAAGGCAGAAGAATAGAAGTGTGCCTGCTTATAATTTAGCAGCATGATTGATGCTAAGTTAATGTAATTCAACTAGCCCCTCCATATTTTATTCTTAAACTTAAAGAGAGGCCTTGAGGAGATAGCTTATTGTTTGTTTCTTCTGACAATTAAATAAGTTCAAATTTAAGTTGTGAGATGGTTGTAGCTTTTGAGCTTGACTATTAACTTAGCTTGTGTTTGTCTTGCTGTAGTGATGGACAACTACAAAAATGCACCTCAGTATCTTTATGGCCTTACTCCTTCGCAGATGGATATGTTCATGACAGAAGATAATCCTGTCAGCCGGCAGGCAGAAAAAGTCACTGAGGTTTGCCTCTGTTTACATGTTTTACTGTTCGCAACTTATATAAGTTTCTCGATGATTATGTGAAAGGTTATGTGTTCTATTCTGATGTTTGTCCCCCTCCCTCCAAAAGAGCAAATAAAAAAATAACAAAAGGTTTACGTGTCCTATTTCCGGAATTTCATGTGGGTGAGTTGAATTAAAGTTTATTATTGAAGATACTTTTAACTCAGAGTCCTTGTACTTTTTGCTACCATGTCAGGAAAGCATCTCATCATCCTGCAATTATTTAAATAACGGTGGAATGTGGAGTCTATCTGGCATGAATGAAAGAGGCCCTGCAAAGTATAGCATGAGCGTCAGCATGTACCGTGGAGGAGCTAGAGGATATGGAAGACCCAGAACCGCTCCTCCTGATTTGCCGTCTTTGCTTCTAGATGCTCGAATTGTCTATCTTGGGATGCCAGTATTACATCACTTCCTATCTCTTGCTTAGCAGACATCAATTTACTTCATTTAATATCTTTAATGTTAGTGGCTGCTGATGTTTTCATTTCTATGGTCATGTTGATTGATTGTGGTAAATGTTCGCAGATTGTACCAGCTGTAACTGAGCTTCTTGTTGCTCAGTTTATGTGGTTGGATTATGACAGCCCATCAAAACCCATATATCTATATATAAACTCTTCTGGTACCCAGGTGAATCATCTATCATAATGTAGCTTTTATTAGAGAGTAGCTCAACTCTTTGCCATTTCACTTGATGGTTTCTGTTTATCTCATAACTAATCATTCTTTTAACTTATGTCTTCTGAATATTTTCTGCCAAAAGTACTGCAAATCAGATGTCTATACAGTAAATTGTGGCATGGCATATGGTCAAGCAGCAATGCTTCTATCACTTGGAGCAAAAGGTTATCGTGCATTACAGCCAAATTCATCCAGTAAGATTCAATTCTTTCATATCCGCATGGACTCTTTATACATTAAACTATTCAAGTGCAACTATCCTGATAATAAAGCTTTCTGAATGCATATAATGCATGGCTGCTTCAACTCATGCTTAATGATTGGATCCCACATTACAGGGTTTATATCAAGCACCAAAAAATTTGCTTATAACAGTGCACAGATTTGTTTAAAATAGCTATGGATCCATATCTTGACAAATGTGCAGGAGGGGCAAATGCTTCCTGTACTTGTTTTTTTGGATTGATTGATGATTGCCAGGTTTATGCTTAATTATTGAATCTTCCAACAGAAGTATGAAAGGGTCAGGGGATTGAGTTCAACTAGTTATCACCTTATCCGAAGGACGTCTTGCCACTGTATATAACCTACTTGCACATCTTATCTTATTCAGTAGATGACTAAATTTCTGGAACTTTGTAATGGAATAAAATGTATCATGTCAGTGTCTGTTGGAAAGATACTGACTACTAGATTTTCCTTTTGAATTCTTGGAAGATAAAAGTCCTGATAGTGTTCTTTATTTAGGCTTTGGAATGTTTGGAAGACTATGAAGTGCTAAATTTGGGAAATAGGTAGCTTTAACTACAGTCACTTAATGGAGATCACTTGCACATAAGATGACAAGTTATAGATCGTAAGGAAAGAAAAATTGGACTTCAATCACTTCACGGAGATCATTTTATCTTCTTTAGATATTTATGGCAAAATTCATTAAAAATTCTTCAGGGGGGTAACCACTTAGTTTGGACTTCTATCCTGATAAATCCGTATGGAGAATTCACAGCATCCACTTAGTATGGACTTCTTTGCTACGTATATTAAATTAATGTATCCACAGAATTAGGATTGGTACTTGTTTGTTGGAATAAATTCGCTGATTCGCATCCCGAAAAGTATACTCTTAATTTTGACATCCATGGCTTATCATTGTTTCGGAATGGGTTATCCATATATTATAATTTTGAAGCCTGGGGTCTTTTATTCTTAGGTGCTTTATTTTTTGGGTAATTATATTTACAACACAGTTTTTGTTAAATGTTAACTGCACAATTTTATTGCAACGAAGTTCCCTAATATTTGCTCATTTTACTACTTAAGTCCACAATTTTTTCCGTTGCATTTTTATCCTCAACCTTCTAGTAATTTGCATATCCTGTCATCAGACACAAATATTCTAATTAATTGGATGTAAATGATAAGAAGGCGAAAAAGGTTGAGAGCACAAGAACAAAAATTTGCAAAGATTTGGAGTTTCATACAAATGAAATGTGTAGTTAGCAATAACTGTGGTGCAAATATAATTACCCTTTTTTCTACCTCTTAGGGTTTATTTTCCATTTTAAATACCTTTTAGGTCTCTCTGTCATCTATGCTTTCATTATTCACCTGAATGAATATGCAAACTAGTTGTGGCTATTTTGTTCCTCCCCCTGTAACATTTGAATGAAGTGAAGCTTTTGTAAAGAAGAAGCGTCAGATTGATTACCTGTGCCGTATTAAACTTAGCACCAAATTTTAGAGTTGATCCATTTTGAACTCTTGAAAACTGTCAAGCACTGTATCTGCAAGGGAATGATGGGCGACAGTATTTTGCTTTATGTGATCAATTAAATGTATCAGTTTTCTGTTATCACTTTCCTATTCAAACTGTTCTAGTGTTGTTAATTGTTATTTATACATTTTCTTCTTTTCTTTTTTTGAAATGGGTGGAAGGAAATTCAGTCGTCCTACTAACCCTGGTATAATATCTGATATTTCTTGTCTATCCTAATAGAGCATCATGGACTAGGGTTCATGATGGTTGTTGACTAATGTATGAACCTCAATGGAAGATAATTTATCATCCAGGTAAAAATACTTGGAAGGAAGATTCTCTTAAAAATGATTATCTTAATCTTCTCTGAAGAAAAAACTATTGCACTTTTCTTTGGCTAGTACAACTTATATTGATGAACACACCTGCCTGCAACTATCTTGACTAGATGCCACTGACCAGTAACAATTACCATTTATAATTCATGGATTGTGTGATATTCATTATTTAGTATATGAACTTTCGAATTAAAGTGTTTTAAATAATAGTATCTTTAATTTTGGTGGACTATCCTGATGTTTTTGTGTGTATAAAATTCATTCTTGAAAAGGCTGTTGCATAATGATACTGAATCGACGATGCTGCAATGTTGCATTGTGAATTCTAAATATAGAATCATGATGCGCTTGCTTCTTATCCCATTTTTCTTCACATTTGTAAATTGCAGCTAAGTTATATCTGCCAAAAGTGAACAGATCAAGTGGAGCTGTCATAGATATGTGGATTAAGGTCTCTCTCTCTCTCTCTCTTTGTGTGTGAGCGCGCACTCGCTCAGACGTGTGTTTATGCATGCTTCCCTTTTCTATTTATTGCATGTTATAGATCGATCTTTCTCCGTGCATCAGGCCAAAGAACTAGATGCCAACACAGAGTATTACCTCGAGCTGTTAGCCAAGGGAATTGGGAAACCAAAAGAAGAAATTGAGAAGGACATCCAACGTCCAAAATATTTCCAGGCAAAGGAGGCAATTGAGTACGGCATTGCTGACAAGATCATCGATTCAAGAGATAATGCGTTTGAAAAACGGGTAAATATTTTGCTAAGTTCTTTCTTTATTATTTCTCACACAGCATTTTGCCATATTAAACACAACCGCTATCCACCCTGTCAGAATTATGACGAGATGCTTGCACAATCAAAAGCAATGAGGAGAGCAGCAGGAGTAGGACCACAGGCAGCTCCCTCTGGGTTTAGGTAAATATGTATGTCTCGGGACTCTTGAATGTATGGGGACATGATCAACTCTCTCTTGGTAATACTCCATAAGTTGTGCGTTTGCTGCTCTTTTCTATATTTGTTTGCAATTACAACACAAACCAAGCTGGTCTCCACCGACTGGTCAAAGTGATGTTAGCATAAAATAATAGTTAGTTTTACTTTTTTATGTACATGTCAAATGGGAATATAGAAGAATGGATGCTTGCAGTCTTACACATTAATAGTCACTGTAATGGAATGGTGCTTTAAGTGAATTTCTTCAGCATTGTCTTCTTTGAATCTAAATCATCCTTTTTATGTCTTGAGGCAGTATGAGTTTACCCTAATAGTTCTTGAAGTAGATGATCATCTTTTATTATTTTTACAAACTGTTCTAAAAACTGAATCCTTTCAAGGGAATTACATCACAGTTTATTACAAAATGAGTAATGTTATTTATAATTAGCAATTATAGTCGTCATTTTATGTGATAGCTTATTATTTGAAGTATTGGCTCGTTATTTTGAAACAACAGAATTACAAAAAAATAATGTCTCAAATAACATGTTGTCACAGGATGATTAACTCAGTTGCTAATTATGAATACCATTATTCTTACCGAATACATGGTATGAAAAGTACGTGTACTGTCAAAATTATTGGACCATCTTGTGATAACTGATACCTCTATTAACGTTCTCAAATCTTACATACAGAAAATCACATTAACGGCAGCTTGTCAACAAATCCCACCAAGGATTAAATATTAAGCACACTCGTGAGGATCAGAAATAGGTTGTGTCCAAGAAAGGAATCGACGAGATATGACATAAACTATACCATACTGCGGTTCTTTTCACACTTCCACACTACATACGTTCCATAAATATTACTGAAGAAGCCAAGTCTTATCAAATTTTCCTTTCATGTAGCTGGATTGGGCAATACTTTCGGTTTTGGTTTAACTTCAACTTCATTCACACTGCGCACAAATATCGCATCCGGTTCATGGCTGCAAACAAACAATAGAAAATGACAAGTTAACTACCTAAATGCCAAATACAAAGGAGAGAATGATGGAAAATACAAACAATAGAATATAACAAGTTAACTATATGCCAAAACCAGTTGAAAAAGAGTAATGGAAAATAACAACTTCGTGAATGGGGAGAGGGAGGGGGAGAGAAAATCTTACGGTTTGTCTCCCTCCTCGTATGTGTAACTGGAGGCAACGGCCAACAATCTACCATCTCTGCTAAATGACAAAGCTGCAATGCTTGTTGGGTACTTTGGGTACTGCAAGATTTCATGGCAAACAAAAACGAGATAACCTCTAAATTTCATACTTGAGATGTCGAAAGCAAGAATCAGGTCTAAAAATTATTTACCTGATACAACCTCTTCTTGTTGTTGCCATCCCACACGTTGACATAACCATCACATCCTCCAGTAGCAAATGTACCATAGCTACATGCATAAATTCATAAATAAGCTAACGAAAAAGAAATATATAAATTCTCGTAAAACTATAATGTCAGACCACATTGAACTTGCTCAGCGCCAAACTCTTTTGCAAGCCTGGTGAGATCTTTAGACAAATTCAATAAAACAGAGCTTGTTTTGAAGAGGAATCAATCCAAGGATCAGGATTTATATGACACCAACTTTAGATAAAAGGACATTGATTCTCAAAGTTTTTGGCTAGATACTAATAAATCATGCATTATTAAACTAGCTATCTTGCTTTCGAGGCTAAAATTGGCTGTACAAATATCATATTGTTTGGTCCTGTATTATTTCAACCGGCAGTTTCACATTATTTGTAACTTTTAAGCAAAAAGGATTTCGTGTTTTTTTGCTTCTAGGATGTAACTAATTGTCCTGAGACACCCATTGATTGCAATCTTGAATGCATTAGGAACAAAACATCCAAGCACAATATGGGGACTTACATGGGATGAAACGCAATAGAATTTACTGGGTACACAATATCCCTTCCAGCTTCTGATTTACGATGACATTTGAATGCATATCTGCAAATTAAGACCATCAGTAAAAGGGTAAGTAGATTAGCTTCACAGACGAGTAGTGCAAAAGTTCATAAATATCGGAATATTTTTTAAACTTACATGACCTTTTTATCTTTGGGTTCGGGGAGAAAATTTATTGATTCCCAGCTGATAGTTCAGTAGTGAAATTTTCTATGCAAGACATTAAGCCTTCATTTGGTAAATATATAAGTCATTTATAAATTTGAATAGTAAGAGGAATAGTTGTAGGTCCTATGAAATATGTGGCTAATAAATGAGTAATAGTTGAATTTGAGGTTGAAATTAATTTTTTTCAATTTGATTGAAGTTATAAATGGTTTATAAATTGGTTGCCAAACAGAGGCTAAACTTGAAAACGCCTAGAAGGAAATACCTCTTTCTCATCAATGGAAAATTCTAGGATGTAGGCATATCAATGCATGTTTTACAGGAAACTCCAGAAAACATGTGATTCTGAGTGCGTGGAATATGGTATCCCAGATATGAAGTTAATGTCATGCAGTTCGAAGACTTTTGTTTTAGCACTAAAACACAGCAAAGTAAACCGAACAGGAGCTTGTAAACATCTTATAACTATAATCTACACACACTCATGAGATGCAAATACATACTTTTTGGATTGACCAGCCTCGGAGAGATCAAAAAACTCCATTGCTACCCGTCCTTCCACAGAACTAAGAGCATAACCTGCAAATGGAAGTTGCTACCAGATAAGTTGTGAAATTAGAATTCAAAGACAACTAGTTCTGTAATTAGTTGTCCCCTGAATAAAGTTACTTCTTAATCAGAACTAACCATTTCTTGTCCCAAAAAATTCTTCACTGTCTATCATAATTCTATGTTAACCAGCACATTTTGGCGCTTAAAGTCATCCAAAATAATTCAGAAAACAAAACTCTTTAATTTTAGTGACAGACATGATTCTCTCGGAAATTTTGAATAAGAATGTAAATTGTGCGTAACTATTGGCCAACATAGTATAAGAATAGGGCACAAAGCACTTTGGACCAGAACATCCAAGCAACACAAGATAAAGCAAAGACCACACCAAGCTCTAATGTATAGTAAGATAAGGAAAAAGCACCAGTTCCATTGGGATAACATCGCACGCATCTAGTTTGATACTTCAATGAAGATTCCCTCCGTTGTTCAGGTTGATTCATGTTTCGAAGATCATAAACATTTACATGTCTTCCAGCAGTGGCCACTACCAAACGATTGCCAACAAGAGACAAAGAATAAATGCGTTCAGGTTGTGTGTATGTTCCAATAAGAGAACGCTCCTGACCACTTGCACCTCTGGGGTCCCAACACTTGAGGGTTTTGTCCCAACTACCAGTAATAACTTGGCCTAAAATAACGAAAAACAGATAAAATTAAGAAATAGAACAAACATTATCATTCTAGAAGTATGCATCTGCATAAATATGATACCGAATTTCTTAAAAAATATAAAATATTCATAATTTGTTATCAACTGAAAGAAGTAATTATAATTTCTTAGAATTATATGACGTGTAGTATATTGTTTAACAATTAAAAAGTATGATTACCTAGTCACCAAAAAATCAAGCAAGTAGACATTAGCTTTTGATATTAGAATCAATCTTCACAGATGTGACATGATGCATGAATAGGTTGAGATGGATAGAGACATACCGGGTGCAACAGAAAATGGTAATATTGTTGCCAAGAAGTATGCTGTTATATTCATCAATGTTCAAGAAACATCCATCTTCTCTCAAGATGTATGTTTATTGATAGATTTATTGAGTATAATAAAGAAAGCAACCCAATTGTCTCATAATAGATGATATTGACAAGAAGAAGCTGAAGCAACTACCTAGAGTTAATTCTATTCCTTGTTATTGAAAGTTTACTCGAGAAAAAGGTTGGAAATGCATCTGATAATTCATAATAGAAGTACAGAAGGAACCAGCATTTGCAAACAATCACGATAAACTTCAAAAAGAAACACTAAATTGAGAATTATAAATATGCAAAAGCAGTGAACCTTCTACAGTGACTGAAGGGCACTTCACGAGTATCAAAACTTAACACATTCCAAAATCCTGAGTTAAGAAGCCCATAGATGCATTGTCAAAGTATATTTTGCTAACGACCCTTCTCCCTCCACAAACTATGTGAATTGTTTTATTTTCACAAGTTAAGTGAGGAGAAATATATCCATAGTTATCAGAGGACAGTGAAAAACATGTATCGAGAAGATGCCCAGTTATCCATGTATAATTTATAGCTTAAGCATGAGTTACCTCCCAGAAGAGTTTTACATTTTTTTTAGTGCATACATCGCGTTTGTATTATGCTAACCCCACCAATTCAATCGCTCAAACGCATTTCCTTTATTTAGTATTTTGTTTGTTGTCAAACTCTTTTAACATAAATAATGACAATCAGCATGAACAAAAACAGAGGATCATACACATTCGTAACAGTTTCGACAATTGGAAAACCTACCAGTTGCATATGAGTATTCAATACATCGAACTGGTGCATCGTGCCTTCCCAAGATATCCTCCCTGCTATGGTTGAACACCAGCCTGAAGCCCAAAAAGCAACATTTTTCAATGATCCATAGTAAAATGGCACACCCAAACAACCTCCTCATCATCAATCACATAGACGGATGAATTAGACAACTAATGTACACATTTTCCCAAAATCAAGTTCATAATAAATTATCATCCCAAAAAGTCAGTTAAATTCGAAACTGTAAATATGATTTTGAAGGAAATTAGCACCTAAACTGAGCTAGCATTTGAAAAATAAAACAAAAAAGTAGAATGATTCTTGAACAAAAATAGAAGCTTAATATTTGAGACATTATTAACAACTATAACCTTCTAACAGTGTGGTCAGCACAAGCAGTGAACCCTGAGGAATCGTCATGGAAGCAGCAATCAAGCACAGCACCTCCGTGCATGAACTCTCCTCTCAGTGCATTGGCACTCGCATCATACAATCGAACACTCTGATAAACAGACAAGCAAACACACATCAAAATAGAATCTAATCTCCCAAAAAAACACTAAAGAAATTCACAATCGAGATTTAAAAATGAAAAATCCAGAAAATAAAAATCAAGTGACCTTATCCCAAGACGAAACCAATAAATTGTCGCTGTGGTTTGAGAAACGGATATTTGATATGCCGTCGGTTGGAGGGCTTGTCAGCTCCCGTCCGGTCGATTGTGGCGCCGCCGTCATGATCTTTGCCCGGTGTTTTGTTACTGAAATTAGTCAACTAGATCTTGGAGAAAACTCGCGTGTGTGAATTGCGAAAAATGGCTAGGGTTTTAAGCGCAGAGAGAAAGAGGAGAGAGATGGAGGCAGAAGGGTACAATCCGCTATCCGGAATTTGAATTCAAATGAGTACTGATTCAGTGAGTGTTTGTTTTGAATAACTATTTATATATACTAGTTTCTTGCTACTTTCAATTATTTGGGAAATTTGGTGTCCACAGAAAATGTTATTTGGGAGAGTAAAATAATTTTGTGCATTTCATCCTGTGTAAGTGGTCCAATGAGACGAGTTGAGTTGCTCGACTCTTTCACTATTGAGCTCGGCTTGGTACATTTAGTGAGCCTGTCAATGCTTGCTCTAGATAATATTTTTTTTTTTTAAATAACAATTTAAATGTCAATGGACAGCCGGAGCTTAAAGCACATTAATACCAAAATATGGCGTGATAGAGAGAGGAGACTGATGATTTTACCAGTTTCTACAACCAGCCATTGATCTACGATGAGCTCTTTACATAGGGATCGACTCGGTCCTTTAACCCATGAGCTCGACTCGGGCTTGTGGCGAGCCGAGCTCTTGGGCCGAGTCGAGCCAAACCCACGAGCTGCTCGCGAGCTCTTGATTTTTTTATTTTTTTTTATTATTATTTTTTTAAATTTTGACAACTTTTTGTCACTTTTTTTGATGAGCGGGCTCATCAACTTTGGCTCGTGGGCCTCGACGAATTGAGCAGGCTTGGCTTATTGGATCGAGCCCCCTATACGAGCTCGAACCGTCCACGAGTCCTGTTTTCGCAAGCCGAGCTCATCGGCTCGACCCATTTGCCATCCCTATCTTTACATAAACTAATGAGGAAGGACCACTCTTTCTATATGGATTCTACCATTGGATTTCTTCAATACGTAAAGATCATCATAGACTTGTGCATGTCCAGCACGAATTTGTCCGCTAACCTACTTCTCAAATAGCGTTCCAAGAGAGGGAGATAGATCATCGACAGAGGGAAAAGACGATGGAAGTTATATCTTCTTTCAACCATCTTTTTCATTTGATGAAACTCTACCCCCTCCACCAAACGTAACATTTGATGCTATATTGACGTCAGAGGCATTATTAGATCATGTACCATCATGACAGCTTGTTAGCATAACATAACAAAATTTATTTGAGTTATTTTAGCTTTTACATGTGATATAGGTTGGTAGAAGGAGACACCCCCGAGGACGAGCAAGGCAGATCACAGCACACCGATGCAAGGCCATCGACCCTCATAGTGCGTTCTACCACTACACCCAGGGAGCGCTCTACCACTACATTTAGGGAGCGCTCTACCACTACGTCTAGGGAGCGCTCTACCGCTACCCCAAGAAATCATTCTACCACTAAGCGAAATCTTCAACGGGAATGATATCCTTTGTCCAAACACTTAGCCATAAAACCTTTAACGAATCGACAAGGTTACATGGCCGCTGATACAGGTACAATCTTCAGACGGGAAGTTAAGGGCTCATCACTCAGAACGTGGGTGTAGTGGGAATATCATCGTGGGACACGTGACATCACAACCGCCCAGCGGTTACCTAGTGCCTAATATCTATAAATACCCCCGGATGAGACGCAGGTAAGGGATGATTTTTTTAGCTCACATTCTCGTTTTTAGCCATCTGATTTTCAAATATATTCTTTCCAAGTCTGAAAACTAATTCTCACGCCGGAGGTAAAACGGGGGAGAAAGCCCCGCCTTCATTTTGCAGGTCTTGCATACTTGACGGAGTGGTGGAAACGCCAAACATTACCGGGTAACTAGAAGGGTGTTGAATTACCACCTTTCATTGGCGCCGTCTGTGGGAATTTCCGTTTGAACTAAAAAGTCATGACAAGAAGACGAACAAGAAGTGATACTCGCCTGGTTGGGAATACGGCGGAGACGGAGTCGGAGTCAGTTGCGAGGGGTCATGAACCGCCACCGCCCCCGCAGTATGTGACACAGAGTCAATTCAGCGCTTTGGAAAACCAATTGGCAGCAATGATGGTGCTTTTACAAGACCAGTCGCAGAGAACCACCATCCCTCATTTAAGCCCGACGGAAGTGACGAATCAACAACCGCCTCAAGCGCCACCCGCGGTTGTCTCACCCACCTCTCAGCGGGGAGCGGGAGACGCGGGAGCCCCAATGACCGGAGCTCAACAGCCCCCGCAAACCATGGTGGACCTGGAACGAAAGATGGAAGAAATCATGTCACAGAAGATAGACGATGCGTTGTCCAAAAGGAAGGATAGGCGGAGACAGATGGTTTTGGAGGAGGACCCGTTCGCCCCAGAAATCATGGCGGTCCCTTTGCCTAAAGGCTTCAAACAGCCCATGATTGAAGCCTATGATGGAGTCACGGACCCGCTTGACCATCTACGAACTTTCGTGGATCTGATGAGACTTTATGCCGCCCCGGACGCCGTGATGTGCCGATCCTTTCCCCCCACGCTCAGGAGGGAGGCAAGGGACTGGGTAGCAACCTTGGCCCCGCGCTCTATCAAGTCATTTGATGAGCTCTCCAGGAGCTTTGTGGCTTATTTCCTAAGCAGCAAGAGGAAGAGGAAGACAGCCATTGGGTTGATGCAGGTCGTACAGGACAAAGACGAGTCATTACAGGAATACCTAGCCAGGTTCAGCCGGGCGACTCTTGGCATTAGAGACCTGCAAATGTCCGCAGTGGTTACAGCCTTGATGAATGGAACGCGAAATCGGGCCTTTAAGATGTCACTGTCCAAGAACCCCCCGGAGTCGATGCATGACCTGTTAAAGAAGGGAGACAAGTATGTCGATGCGGAGGAAGTGGAGAAGGTAACTAAAAATCTCAGGGATGGAAGGGAGACGGAAGCTAATAAGCGAAAAACCTATGACGAGCAAAAGCACAATGATAGAAATAAGCAGAAGAGTGAACGCACGAGCAAGGGTTATGTCCAAGACCGGTCAGTCAGGCAAAAACGAGAGGAGGTCAAGACACCCACCCCTTTGAACATTCCACGAACAAAGTTATTGATGGAGATACAGCACATGAAGGAGCTCGAATGGCCCAAACCAATGCTAACCCCTTCGGGCAAGAGAAATCAAAGTAAATACTGCCATTTTCATAGAGATCACGGGCATGATACCGAAGAATGCCTACAATTAAAGGAAGAAATTGAGCGCCTGCTGAGACGGGGGCTATTGGCAAAGTATGTGAAAAACGACAAGGGCAGGCAAAGGGTCGAAGGTATACCCCCACCAAGAGCAGGAGTGATAAACATGATCATCGGAGGAGTAGCATCGGGCGGCGACTCAAATTCAGCTAGGAAGAGTTATGCGCGCT